TTGTATTAAACTTGCGCTATACTCACATCATAACGCGCGAAGCTTCTTCGCATGATACGTGTCACGTTCAAGGTATAAGTCGCGGAATTCGCATAATAACGACGAAACGCTTCTTTTTTGTCCCTGTCACTGAAATAAAAAATAATAAAAATATAAATATTATATAAATTAATGCTGTGACATTTAAAATGTACGGGACATTTGCAAAAGTGCGCGTCTAGAAAGGCCTTAGATACATAACAGCTAACAGATGAATGAGATAAACAAGAGAATATTCTATTTTGTTTTCAAAATTTTTAAACTGCATAATTCGAATCATGGTGATGGAAGAATTATGGTAGTTTTTTCGATCATGATTCTTCCATTTGATTCGAATGGATTATACCTTGAACGTGATAGATTTCGCGCGTTATGATGTGATATAGTGCAAGTTTAATGCAATCATATGATGACGTTTTAATCTTATTTACACAGTTGGAGTATAATAATTAAGTTTGTTCTTTATTATTGCATTGAAACTTCATCTCATTTTTGCTAAATCTCAAATATGTCTGTCTCACTTTAAGAACAAAAAATTATAATTCAATTGTAAGTAGACTAAGTATATATGTAATAAAATTTTCATAATATTTTTATATTATAAGAAAATATAATATTTACTATATTTTTGTATAAAGATATTTTCTTTCTTGATTTCTAATATATTTAATATAAACATCTACACACACACACACGCGCGCGCGCGCGCGCACAGAGAGAGAGAGAGAGAGAGAGAGAGAGAGAGAGAGAGAGAGAGAGAGAAAGAGAGCATGTTACAAATTATCTTAAATTTTTCAATTGTTTATTTAGATTTTTTTTTTACTTTACTTAGAAATAAATTAAAGCATTTCAAAAAGTTTAAAGAAGCAATTTCGAGAATATAAAGAAATTTTTACGGAATTTTCATTACTTGTATTAAGTGAAAGAAAAAAAATTGTTACAGACGAAAATTTATTTAAGGATAATAAAATCGAATACCATATCTTATAATTAAAAGATATGATATTCGATCTGTTATACTCGTAGAAATGTTGAACAATGGGAAGTATTTCAAAGTAAAAGCTTAGACTGAAGAGACATGAAGCTTGTGTAGTTGTCGACAGTCTGACGATTAAACGGCGACTATAAGCGAGCAATTAAAATAATTTTACGATGCTGGACGAACGCTCACAGAGAGAATTATTAAAGGCAATTGATGTATACGAAAAGATGAAATGAAAGCTCCCTGTAGTTCTCTCTGAACATATTCTTCTTCTATAATTCTATTGAAATGCAGTTCTTCGAAGGACAGAATTACAGAATCAATAAAATCCTCCTATCGTGTGTTGGACAATGGCCATATCAAACGAACAGAAGTAGCAATGCTATTATTATCATTATGGTGTCTTTAGCTGGTACGCAATTTATCGCCAAGGTATGACAATGCAACGCGGTTAAATTTATGATATATAATCATATAATTGTATATCGTAAATTTAACGATTGTTTGTTGATAAAAAGAATTTTATCAATCCTTTTTTTATAGAAACAAATCCAGCCAACATATGTCCAAAATGTGGACATCTCGAAAGACGTCTTGTAAATATGATTTCTCAACTTCAAGACGTCTTATGTCCGCATTTTATAATGTTGTCTGGGAAAATTATTTATTGAATATGACTATGTTTGTTCTATATTCTATTATATTTTATATATTGTATATTGTATAATTTAATATACAATATTTAAATGCTATGTATGCTTCGTATTTATAATTTCATGATTCAAACATAGATATGTGGTTTATTATCCATTGATAACATCGATTTGTTCATCGATTCTCTTTCACCATTGGTAGTCGATATAGGATGTGGAGTAAAATTAATCACTTGCATATTAAAAGCAACAGAGGTATGCAAATACGTTGCGATATATATTTAAGTTCTAAAATATTTTCGGCATACATCCGCTTGCAGGGGTATTTGGCTCTTTTTAAAATTTATGAAATATGCGAGAAAGAGCTAATTTAAGTTACTTGTACAATTAGATAATTATTATACAATAATTTAGCAATTAGAAATTACAATTTTTAACTATAATAAAAATTTTTAATTTAAATCTTCTTTAAGATAAAATTTAATTACAGATAAGAGCACTTTTTGACCAAATACGATACGATTGGCAACTATTAATAACATCTTCACAAATCAAGATTCTTAATAATTACGCACAAAATGGACGAACATTTACGATCATATACGCAAGTAAGCATAATATGATGCGTGCTATAAAGAAAAAAATCCTATGAAAGATTTTTTAAGTTTCTTCTAAAAAATTATTTATTACTGTTATTACTGTTATTATAATATAATCAATAATTATATTATAATAACAGTAATATACACATCATATGTTTCTTTATTACAGTAAATATATTTTAAGTTCTATAATAAGAATTTAAATCAATGACTTTTATTTTGTAACAGAAATTAAGAATAAAGACTGATAAAAATAATTAAGAATACTTAAATCTTTAGGTGCTTTTTATTCTGCATTAGTATTATTTATGTTAATACCATTGCAATCGTTGTTACTGGGTTCTTCTTCAAATGATACAACTCGATTATTATTACATCAAGTTGAGTATTATATCGATATGGAAAAATACTATTTACCAATCTTAATTCACGGATACACTACTGCTGTCGTTTGTGTAAGCATAGCCATCGCAGCAGATACAATGTATGTAATAGTAGTACAGCATGTTTGCGGACTATTTATGATTATTGGGTAAGATAATCAATCTAACATAATCAATCTAACATACTCATATTTTGTTCACATGATTTTTAAAACATATTTAATCAAACAGTTGAGAATTTATATTAATAACCCAGATAGCAACGTGTCTTATTGCTGGCATGTTGCTAAATATGTGTTACTACCAGAATTGCAGCAACTAAATATCTCATTTGTTGGCAACTTGATGCCTTCATGATATGACATTAGATAACAATTTACTGACAACTTTAAAATCAAAAGTCGTAAAAGTCATAAAAATTCGTATTTTCTATTGCCATCATGTTGCCATAACAATATGCAACATCATACAATGCTGTTATATTGCTGACAACACAAGATAACATTGATGCAGCTATCTTGCTATTAAATTATTGGCAATACTTATATACATTGTTGTCTGCATGTGCTACAATGTCGGTATATTCGAAATCGTTGAAGACAAATCTATGGCAAATTGTTAGTATCATAAGCACAGATTTGTGCGATTTTGCTGAGACACGCTTTGCTATCTGAGAAGTAGTTTAAAAACTTGTATATCAATTGTATCAGGCAACAACTGGAAAATATAGTAAAAGAGGATAATCTAGAAATAAATTTTAATCCATCTATAAGAGAGGATAAGCCATACGAAAATATTGTAAGCAGCATTCATGCACACAAGAGAGCTTTAAGGTGATATAGAGAATATATTATTATTATTATTATTATTATTATTATTATTATTATTACAATATACATTATGTAATTTATTTTATTATCACTATATAT